GGGGGGGGGGGGGGCAGTGAGCCATTACTCAGGTTGAAAGGAAGGTTTGCATCAGCAGCAACTGTTCTAATAATGACCGCCTTTGTCACAGACAAACTAATGCACTCATGGCGTCTCCTGTGTCCTCTTGTGTTTTTAAATGTGCGTACGTGCACAAACGAATGGCTGAGTAAGGACACATAGCGCTTAAATTGTCCAAGGTGACACTTGCTCCTCGTGCGCAGACACTGTGTCCTCCTATGGCAGTCGTAAGGTTTCGCTGTTCTGCTGAGGTCAGTGAGCAATACAAAGACACACACACACTGTCTTTCAAAGCATTAATCATCTTTTTGGGCTTAATGCAAACTGTAACAATAAACTTTGTCTTGTTTGCATTAATTCCCCCAAAAGCAGATTTATGATACTTAAATAAATTGCCTAAAGAAAGCACAGTGTCTCCACAGAGTCACACACACTGGCACTTGCACAAACACACACTTGCATGTGGTTCCAGGGAAAAGGCCTTCAAGTTTAAATCACCTCACCACATAAATAAAACTCAAAGGTTACAGGTAATGACCTCACTGCTTACGTTGTCTCCTGACAATGAATTTGCACTAACAAAAACTGTTTTGTACAATTCATCTGAATAAACCGACCCACTGCTCATCTCCTCGTCAATGTCCAAACATTTCCCCCTCTCCCAGCCAATTTTCTCAATTTTTACACAGTTCTTCTTGTTTTATTTTATTTTTTGCTTGCATAGCAGGTAATCGTTATTAAAAGTATTACTTGTGAGAAGAACATTGAAGTCTTGGACAAATAAGTGTTTTTAAATATGAGCCTAAACTTGGTCTCTGTGTTTGGCCTGACAGTCTTGGTCCAACACCATGTTTAAATCAGCCCCCAGCATTTCCTGTTTGTTAGTTTGTCTGCAGCTGGTTTACTTGGAGCTGTGCACTTGGTGACAACCTTGGTGCCCTCAGACACAGCGTGCTTGTCCAGCTCCCTGGACAGCAGGAGGTGCACGACAGTCTGGATCACCCTGGAGGTGATGGTGGAGTGGTCGTTGTAGTGAGCCCTACAGGAGGCCTCGGAGACGATATGCTCGAAGATGTTGTTGACGAAGGAGTTCATGATGCTCATGGTCTTGGAGAAGATGCTGGTGTCAGGGTGGACCTGCTTGAGGACCTTGTAGACGTAGATGGCATAGCTCTCCTTCCTGGTCTTTCTCCTCTTCTTGCCTCCTTTGCCAGTGGTCTTGGCAACGGCTTTCTTGGAGCCCTTCTTGGGTGCACACTTGATGGGTTCAGGCATGTTGCGAGTCAGAATTTCCAGCGACATAGGGATCGAGATGGGGTAGAGGTAGGGCAGCTGACTGGGGACCAGAAAGTCGTGGTTCGACTCCCAGCCATTCCCACATGTCGTGGTGTCTCCGAGCAAGACACTTAATACCTAATTGCTCCCCAGGTACTTACATAGCTGCCCACTGCTACACCAGGGTGCATCTCAGGTGCAATGGGTTAAATGCAGAGAACTAATGTCGCCATTGTATGGGATGGGAACATACAATGATGCCAATCTCAGAATCCCCCCCCCCCCCCCGTTTATCTCATAAATAGTGAATGTGTCAGCAAAGTATAATGAATAATGAGTTAAGTTCTGTCAATAGTTATTTTATTTACTCCAGTTTTATAAAACACATAGTGCTTATCAAAAGTACCTCAGAGGAATTACTGTTTCATCTGGCCATAAACATTTTACAAACCAGTAAATCCATTATGATTCTGCATGAGTGCAAATTTGAATTTGACAAGCTCTGTGCAGTGAAAACCACCTGTATCTCCAGTGATCTTTGGCTCCCACCTTGGAGAAGCATGGACTCCTGTTTGATCTGCTTAGATGTGTATGTGTCGATCAAATGCAGGTAAAAAAAAAAAAAAAAATAGCTTGAGGAGCAGAGATACACACACAGGATAATCTAAAGACAGAAAAGTGGTTTAAATATGCTCAGTGAATGGAGAATAATGGGCATACTGTCGTGTTTATTATGCAACAGACTCACATAGTGTAAAATAGAACAAGCACACACACATATGAAAACAGATTGTCTTCTATAGGATAAGTGTTCAGAGAAAAAACAAACCAATTTCCAAATGCCCCCTCCAAAAAAACATCAGGCTATTCCAGAGAGCACAAAGATTATATTGTTATTACCACAGCAGCAATTGATTGTTCTTATCTGTCCTGGCCTTCAGATTTTGTTTCCGTATGTGTGTGAGAGGGAGAATGTGTGCATTCATGTGCTGTCTCTCCCAGGATCTCCTGTCTGTGCAGGTCATGGGAATCAAACACAGTAGCACACAGTAAACACAGCTGGACTGCGACAGCAGGAGGATATAGATTTTAGGCCGTCCTGGTCAAACTGTTGCAGACTGAGAACAAACTTTTACTTTCTCTGACTGCAGCTGAAACAGTTTCAATCTAATGATTTTCAGGAAAGCAAAAACAAGGAAAGACAAAAACAGATCAGTTAGCCTGTCTCTATGCCAGCGGCAGGCACATACCGGTTAATGGGTCACAGGATCTCAGAAACAGGTTTATAAGTGATCCACTGAGTCCAAAGTTCACTACAGTAGTCCCTCGCTACTTGGCGGTTCGTTTTTCACAGACTCTCTCTATTGCGGTTTTTCAAAGTGAGATTGGACAGAACACACAATTGGATGATTGATGGATGAGCCGCACAATCAGCATGGAGTTTTTATTTAAAATAAATTGTTTTTAAATTATTTAGCACCTGTGTGCAGCCCAAGTTGCAGGAGAAGCTTCCTCCTGCAGCTGATCAGCTGATCTGCTCTGCAGCGGAGAAGTGGGCGTGGCCAAGAGCACTGGCAGTTGGCAGAGAGCAGCAGGAGACAGAGAGCTGAAATTATGACATTCTGAGCTCTTTTAGAGCGTTTAGAGTTTAGAAACATTGTTTAGAATATTGCAAGAGTGTGGGAAGGGTTTAAAACACCTTTATGTATATATATATATATATATATATATATATATATATATATATATATATAATACTGTATCTTCCGCCGTACCCGTTGCACCACCCTATAAGTCCAATCAGTCCATATACGTCGCATCTATTATGCGTCACCACTGACGCATCATGTTTTTTATGCGTCACCGCTGACAACCCGGAAATGTGGGCCAAACTCGAAAATGTGGGCCGGTGTTGTGCCAAAAATCGATGGGCTGCCAAATAGCGGCCGCGGGAGTGTGCACGGGAGGACTTTAACAAGAATTTAACAAGATTAACCCTTAAAAACAATTATTTGTTTGCTCGAAATAATATCAAAGGTGTGTCTCTGTTGAACTTTTAATAAATGCACTTCAATGGTCAAATTAGCTGCATTTCGCCTGGGCGGTGCAGCTGGTTTAACTTGCTCCAAGCAGCGAGCAGAACGAAGGTGGGAGGACTATGGCAAGCTGATTGTGTCATTAATAGCTGGTGATTATTCTCAGTCATCCAGGACATGGTGAATTCAAAAAAGTTCAAGACAAAAACAATATAATATAAATTATAATAAATAAAGTCCAGTTATTTTTGTCTTGAACTTTTTTGAATTTGTCATTATAGCCACGTCTATCTCTTACATGATACAACGGCATGCCTTACAGCTACTACTACTCTGCTGCCATTTAGTGGCTGAAAATGTTACTGTTGAATTTTTTTCAGTCAGAATGAATGAAAACAGTCGTATCTCAGTTTATAAATATGGGAAAAAATCCATAAACACGTCGCTTCCTCCTATAAGTTGCAGGGCATGTAAATTATGCAAAAAACTGACTTATAGGCAGAAAAATATAATAAATACTAAAATAAACTACTACTACTACTTGTACTACTATTCCTACTTTGCAGTTTTCCACTTATTGCAGGGCTTCAGGGTACGGACCCCCCCCATGATAAACAAGGGACTGCTGTACAATGTTATAATTTAGTTGGTCTGCAAAACCACATATTGTCTCCTGAGTGATTTACTGTACATTATACAGTAGTTTGTAAACACTGGCTTTTTTTTTTTGCACAAGGTCACGCGTGGATGCATGTTGGCCTTGTTGAGTTGAAAACCACAGATGTTGTAGAACACTACTGTTCCCTCTAAAGTGTGTGTAAACTGTGGTGGACATTTGTCCCAAATATGTGAGTATTAAACATTTACACACATTAAATTTAAAACAGTTGTGTGCATATGTGTGGAGTTAAGTTTTAAAAATGCAAAGAAAATACATGAAAAATCTGTATGACATTATACTTGTTTTCACCATTTGGATGTTAGGACACATAGAGTTTTTACAAAGTATTACCACAAATAGCTTTATAGAACAAATGAATGGACATAATTTTTATTGCCCACTGCCATGGAAGGCAGACGATTGTTTAATCACCTTTGTCTGTGTGTGTATTTGTTTGTCTGTGAGCAAAACATTTAATGGATTTGTATACACATTTTAATAAATGTAGTATTTACTTGTACGTTTACAAGTAATTAACTCTTAAACTCAACCCAATATAAGATGGCTGCTACAAATAATCAACACTAGCAAACATAAAAATAGTTCAAATTCAGGCAATTTCACAGATATTGATCTATAATTTGGTGTGGTAGTAGCTGAGACTCAAACTCAAAGCATACGCTAAGCCCTACTAGATCATGTAAGATCTATTTTTTTAATATGTCATGAAAGACGGTGGGTGATAAGCATTTCTTCACAAAATTAATTCACAGTGTTGAATCAAAGCTCTTACAGAATGACATGACATCATGACTGAGTGGTTTCTGCTGCTCTTGTGTGTTTGGCAGTATGTCGACATATCATCCAGAGTCCAGAGAGGCACAGCTCCATCAGTGATGATCATGGTTGCATATCTTTGCATCATAGATGCTATACGTGAGCACCACTTCCTCAGGTAGCAGCACGTAGTCACAAGTATTACTGTAAGAGGAAGGAAGTGATGTCAGCTGAGCTCTTCTTCCTCCTCTTCCACGAAGTCCAACAATTTCAATATTTTTGGAGTGTATGTGTGTGTGTGTGGGGGGGGGGGTGGAGGCCATGGGGGGGCGTGAGCTAAAATGAAAAGAATGTCTATAAATAAATTGAGCTTTAACAGCTTCTACCTGAAGGTCACACATTGTTATAAGGCATCATTTCCTGTTCAGTCTGACTTACTGAAAAAGAATGGGTCACATTAAATAGCTGCCACTTTGTGTGTTTATGTTTGTGTGTTTTGCTTTTGTGTGTGTTGCGATATTATTTACTCAATCTTACCTGTCTGTAATAAATTGGTATGACCTACGACCTCTCCATTAGATTAACTGAGCTGAGTTATGCCCTTGGGCATCTCAGCCAGCTAAATCATTTAGCTGGAGTGACTGCTGGTGCAAGAAAGTACCAAGGACTTTTATGCTTTGAAATAAATTTGTTTTTAACTCTCCATAATGTTTTACAATGAAGACTGACAAACAGAAATATAACAAAATATGGTTGATATTTTGTTTTGATTTGTTAAAAAAAAAAAACGGAAACAAATTTGTATGCCTATTTAATGACAGTGTTGTTGTCATCACTCTTTGTTAAGAAATCAGGTCTCTCTTGTAAATGAGCCCCCGAGGCTCAATGTCTAAATAAAGGTTGAATGAAAGAAAAGGTGTGTAACACTGACAGTGCATCAGAACTGTAAAGAACGCCGGTAATGTTTCTAAGTCTTTTTAAAGACTATTCAAGTATGGTTGGCTCAGATTAAAGTTGCCTTTTCAAAAACATATGAGCTTCAGCAGAGTTTTCATAGACTTTGTTTCAAATGTTCATCTATGTCCAAATAAAGAGACATCTTTATTTAAAGAAATATTTCATATTTCAGAATCAGAATAAGCTTTATTATCATTGTACTGAGATACAGTGAAAATATTTATAAACTCACATGCACACTTATATGTATATATATATATATATATATATATATATATATATATATATATATACACACACACACACACAATTTATATATACTGTATGTGTGTGTGCACACACACATTTTTGTGTACATTGGTCTGCAAGGTTAATTTTTTACATTTATTTTTAAAGACTACGATTTCTCACCTGTTTCCTGTGCTTGATTCAACAATAGTCCCCCACCCCACCCCACCCCACCACCACCACCCCATACTAGCAAACCTACAAGCTAACAAAATAAAGTAAAACATAGATAAATAAATAAAACCTCCGGAAACCTACTTTTTCTCCAAAATTTGTTGGAC